AGGGAGCTGCAGAGACAACAGGAGATGATCTGACCTCAACCCCCACTCCCCGTCCCCCTGCGCCGCTCAGGGGGAGGAGGTAGAGAAAATCTGGAGAAAACTTAAGCCTGGGAAGAAGGGAGGGGTGGGAGGAAGGTGTTTTTAAGATTTGGGTTTCTTTCTCATTATCCTACTCTGATTCGATTGCTATTAAATTAAATTAATTTCCCTAAGTCGAGTCTGTTTTGCCTGTGATGGTAATTGGTGAGTGATCTCTCCCTGCCTTGACCTCAACCCATGAGCCTTTCGTTATATTTTCTCTCCCCTGCCCAGCTGAGGAGAGGAGTGATTGAGCAGCTTTGGTGGGCACCTGGCATCCAGCCACGGTCAACCCACCACACTCATAAACATTGTAATACCAGCCTGGCCAAAAGCATACTGACAGGAAAACCACAGCATAATTGGATGCTACATATGAAGCAGTAGTACCCAAAATCTGAAAGAAAACACTTGATGCTTCCGAAGACTCCAGGATTTCCTAGGAGTCCTAGGAAATGTCCTACATTTTCCCAATTACCCCATAGTTGCAACTTGACAAAGAACCTCTCTAGAAACAGTGAGAGAAAATTAGTCTAGTTCTAAGGACCAAAAAACCCAGAGAGGGAAAGTTTTTGTGGATATGGAAAATGGACCGGCAGAATTAATATCTGGTCATGTCTATCAATAGTCTACACAGATTTGGAGAGACATCAGTCCTATCATGAAAAACCATGACCTGGGCATTACTCTTTTGTTGTCAAACATTAAACACAACACACAGACTACCTGAAGTATGAGCAACTCATTAACGGCCTCAGGAGACAAACATCCCCATTTTTTTTTTCCTGTGCTGATTTTGTCTGTAAAAAACCCAAAGTTTTAATACTCTGCCTCCATGTAATCTTTTGTTAAATAAAAACTAAAAGCCTATTTTTTCAGTTCTAGGTTATAATGTGTGCTAGTCCCTAATAATTTGACTGACAGATATCAAAACTCAACCCTTCCCCTTCAAGTCTCCTACCAAGCTTAATCAAGTTTTCTTTTAATTAAGTAAAGCAAAAATACATGTAATTAACATCACCAAAAGCAATAAAAGAATAAATCAGTAAAGTATAAATTTCTACCTCAATATAATCCAATTGAGAGGTCAAATTCTGTCTTCAGAAAGTTGTGCTAGGGTATCTGAGCACAGAATAGACATGAAGCTGGGATGGCTGGTCAAAGTACAGTATCACTCACAAGAAGAATCAAGAAAAGGAAATCTGACCCAGCTTCCTTCAAAGAGCAGCTGACCCTGTTCTTCAGAGTCCAGGCTGGTAAAGAACCTCTTGAATCCAATAAACTTTGATCCGGAACTATGTGGAGGAACTTCCCCCTGGGCAAAAGGGACATCAGCAACAAAGCAATAAATATTCTGAAGAGAGAAAAAACCTTTGTCTGTGCTCCATTGCCAGATGAGTCCTAATTTACTGTGTGTGCTATGCTACACACTGTGACAAGGGATGATCCACATTGTACAGCACTGAAGAGTGCCACAGTCAAAGAATAAAGCGGTTATGTCTAGCAAAGCAACATTAAGGATCAATGTTTACCCCTCTAACACTATTTTCTGATGGTATTAAATTAGAGTCAGCTGAGAATGAAAGTTGTCACACCAAACTTTTTTTTTCCTTTTGTTCTTTGCTGAAATTCAACATACAGATGAGCATTTTCATACAGATGAGCATTTTCACTGAAATTTCAAAATGCAAGAATATCTTCCAACAGCAAAGAAACACCAGCACCTGAGATTTGATGGAGTCCAAAATACACATAACAAAAAGAAAAAAAATTTAAATAATGGAGCAAATATAACCCACCTTTTGTGCATGGAATTCATCTCAGAATGAAGAACCAGCAAAAGTCCTCTGCATGCTCGGTTAGCATCCTCAAAACAGAATTTCAAACATATCTAATCTTCAAGCTAGGGAATCTCACATGAGATGCTAATTCCTTAACAATTACTACCTCAGGAAGTAGAAAAAACAGGGATTTCTTATATAGTCTATAAAATTCTAAGAATTAATGAAATT